GCCCCTCCTCACAGTCTTTCAACAAAGCAGAAGAGAAACTGTTTTCTTTTTCCCAGTTTGTTTTTATTTTTAAATTTTTATTGGAGTATAGTTGATTTACAATGCTGTGTTAGTTCCTGTTGTGCAGCAAGGTGAATCAGTTAAATATAGATATATATCCACTCTTTTTTATATTATTCTCCCATACAGGCCATTACAGAGAATTGAGCAGAGTTCCCTGTGCTATAGAGTAGGTCTTTATTAGTTATCAGTTTTATGTACAGTAGTGTTATATGTCAATCCCAAACTCCCAATTTATCCCTGCTCCCCGCCAAACTCTGTTCTTGACAAGATCATAAAGAATGTGGTAGCTGCCAAAGCAAGACTAACAGTTATCACTGTCAACCATGTGTCTTGCACTGTCACATGCTTTGCCTGTATCCCTCTCCTGTGCTCCTCACAGCCCCCACCATGAGGAAGATGTTGCTATTAGCTGCATTTCATATTCAAAGATGCAGAAGTTGAAAGAGGGATATAACTTATGCAAGGAAACATAGCTAGGAACTGGCAGGGCTAAGTCTTGAATCCAGAGGGTCAGTTCTAGACTGTATTCTTTCTATGTCTCAAATAACAGTCTACATGCCTCTGACCAGACTCTGATTCACATCAACTCCACTGTATCTACCCTCCGTCTTTTCTGCCCCATGGAATTTCCTATAGGCTCTTCTGGGGTCCAGAGACTTACATAAGAATTCACATCCATAGCTCTCCTCTTCTTGGCCCACTTCCACTCTGTACTTTTGTTCTTCCTCAAGGAAATTAGAATGTCTCTGCTGCTGCTGTGGCTTAGTCGCTCAATTGTGTTCAACTCTTTGCGACTCCATGGTCTGTAGCCCACTAGGCTCCTCTGTCCGTGGGGATTCTCCAGGCAAGAATACTGCACTGTGTTGCCATGCACTCCTCCAGGAGATCTTCCCAACCCAGGTCTCCCGCATTGCAGTCGGATTCTTTACCATCTGAGCCACTCTGGTCTGCCTTAATTCATAGGATAATTGCTCTACATTACTCTTGCTAGACTATTTATAGTAACCAGTATGGTAGTTTTTCTCTTCCTTTTCCCAAATTTGATTTCTCTAAGCATATATTTCTCTTGCAGGAAAACCCCTGAACTTACCATTACAGAACTTACTGAATTCCCAGATGATCAAGTGAATTGCAATGACTGCCTTTATATCCCCATTAGAGTAATATGCTGGTGCTTGAGGAAACCAATAGCTACCATCAAACTCATTGATCTTCAGTAAATGATTTTTTTCTATGCATTTATTGTGTTTGTTTTTTAGATCTCTCATGTGAAATTATACAGTATTTGCCTTTCTCTGACTTCTTTCATTTAGTGTAATGTACTCAAGATCCATCCATATTGTTGCAAATTGTAGGATTCCCTTCTATTTTTATGGCTGATTTATTCATAAGTGTGTGTGTAATCTCAGAACATTTTTATCCATCCATTCATCAATGGACACTCAGATTGTTTCCATGTCTTGGCTATTGTAAATAATGCTCTGTGAACATGGGCATGCAGCTATCTCTTCAACATAGTGCTTTTATTTCCTTTGCATATATTCCCAGCATCAGAACTGCTAGATCATATGATAGTTCTAGTAATTCTCTGAGGAATCTTCACACTGTTTTCTCAGTGGCTATAACCAATTCACAATCTCACGAACAGTGCACAAGGGTTCCTTTTTCTCTACAACCTTGCCAGCGTTTATAATCTCTTATCTTTTCAATAATAGCTATTTTTAACAGATGTGACACAATATCTCATTGTTTTGGTTTACATTTCCCTATGATTAGTGATGTACCTGTTGACCATTCATACTTTTTCTTTGGGAAAATGTCTGTTCAGGTCCTCTGTCCATTTTACAATTGGATTGTTTCATTTTCACTAATGAGTTGGGGGAGGAGCTGACTTCACACAGGGTTTCTGTCTTCTGTTAAGCTGGGTTGTTAGCTGGTCTGCCAGGGCTTCTCTTGGAGTCCAGATAATTGTGAAAGGGAGACGATGGTAGCAGTGGTGGCTAACTTATCTCCTGGTCATGATGGTTATTGTGTTGCTAAGGTTTCTCTTGCTGTGTCCTTGGACAAGGGCCACCCATCTCGTGTCTGAGAGTTTTGCAACTAAGGACTATTGTCCTTCATCTTGGGAAGGTTGGGATGATGTGCTGAGTGAGGCTGATATGTTGGGACATAGAGGTGTGGTCACAGTGACTGGGACTTTCATTGCCCGTCTTCTGAGACTTGGAGGTTTGTTCAGGTTTGCTGTTATCCATCATATCCAGTATTTAGGGAAGCTTTCCTGGATTACTAGGGTTCCTATTGTCTCATGTTCAGTGTCTGGTGGATTAATTTACTGGCATTCACTCACGGTGCCCTCTGACTTGTGCACAGTTTGAGCTGCTCTCACTCTTCTTGTCTGTGGCTCATGACTGGATGAAGTACTGGCTTGTCATTCATGGAGTCAGGGTTGGGAGTTGAGGGTTCCAGAATTAGAGGTTAGAATTTATGGGGTGTTATTTAAAGATTAGAGTTTGGAATTAGGAGATTAGAAGATAAGTGTCATTGGCTCAGAATCTAGAAATGAAGTCTAGGATGAAAGGGTTACGAGTTTAGTAGTGACCAGCTTGGGCTGGTGTTGGAAATTAGTATCAGAAGTATAAAGGTTAGAGTGGTGGTCAGAGATCGAAAGTGTTCAAGTCAAGGGTAAGATATTTGCGTGGTGGTTAGGGACTGGGGTGGGGTTAGATGTTAGGGCTGCACCATGGGCCTAAGGTTTAGGACCTGAGTGTAAGGATCAAGGGTCAGACTTACAAGGTCAGCTTCAGAAGAGGAGTCAGGGTCGGGAGGGCTAGGGTTAGGTAACAAGTCCAAAGGGTTAGATCACTGTCAGCAATAGAGTTAGGGGTTTAGGAAGTAGGACTGAGTTAGGGACTAGGGTTGGGATTTGTTACAGTCAGTGAGGCAGGATGAGGGTAATTCCCTCTTTTTCCTTGCTGTGGGCAGATTCTCCAAGCAGAGAGAAGACATCAGGTTCTCAGTCCATAAGCTCCAAACTCCAGGAGAGAACATGTCAAGGTTTCATGCCACTCTTTCACTGCACACCCCCCCCCCACCTTTTTTTTTGAGAATGCAGATAGTATTTTATTTTTCATTTATTTTTATTAGTTGGAGGCTAATTACTTTACAATATTGTAGTGGTTTTTGCCATACATTGACATGAATCAGCCATGGATTTACATGTGTTCCCCATCCTGGACCCCCCTCCCACCTCCCTCCCCATCCCATCCCTCTGGGTCATCCCAGTGCACCAGCCCTGAGCACTAGTCTCATGCATCCAACCTGGACTGGCGATCTGTTTCACACTTGATAATATACATGTTTCGATGCTATTCTCTCAGATCATCCCACCCTCACCTTCTCCCATAGAGTCCAAAAGTCTGTTCTATACATCTGTGTCTCTTTTTTTGCCCTGCATATAGGGTTATCCTTACCATCTTTCTAAATTCCATATACATGCGTTAGTGCACACCCCTTTTGACCAGGGCAACACCAGGCCCTGAGATTCAGCAAAGCAGCAAGGGAGGAATATGCCGGTCTCCCTCTCCTGCAGGCACTACCCTGTATCTGCAAGTCCTGCTCTTAAGGTCCCCTTCACTTGGCTCAGAGAAATCACCTTTCCACCTCGGAAGCATTCTGCACTCTTACTAATTTTGTTCAGTAGATTTCTACTCATACACACACACATACACACACACACACACACACACACACACACACATATCCACAAATACAGAGAGGAAGGACGTGATATGGCTGCTAGCTAGATTCTGATCTCTTCTTTAGTAAGGCCAGAAGAAACGGTGGGCTAAAGCAACAAAGATAGGGGCAAATACTCAGAAGAAAAATAGAGAAGGGTAATGGGGATGAGAATGATGAGAAAGGGTGTTGCTTTAGATAGTAAGTCTGGCCAGCCCTCTCTGAGGAGGTGACACAAGGCCAAGAAGTGAATCAAGTAAATATTGGGGAGACAACTTTTCAGGCAGTGAGCACCTCCTGTGGAGGCTTTGAGGTGGGAACAGGTGGTAGGATGGTTAGAATGAGGGGAGAGTGGTTTGGAAAGGCACGCAGGTCAGCAAAGCCCAAGTTATGTAGTTCTTTAAGGTCCAAGGTGAAGAGTTTGCATTTTTTTTCTTAGTAGAGCAGGAAAACACGGCAGTGATTTAGGCAAAGGAGTGATGTGAATACCTTGTGCATTAAAAAGATGATTCCATGTGCCACGGAGCAGCCACAACTACTGAGCCTGTACTGAGTTGATGAGCCACAACTACTGAATCCCCTTGCCTAGAGCCTGTGCTCCGCAACAAGAGATGCCACTGAAATGAGAAGCCCGCACACGGCAACGAAGAGTAGCCCTTGCTTGCTACAACCAGAGAAAGCCTGCACAAAGCAAAAGAAAGAAAGGAAGAAGATAAATAAAAAATTAGCCTCATAATGGGTGATTCACCCAGCTGAGTTCAGACTCATAACTGGTATAGAATTACTTCAAGTCCCACCAAAACCGAATCAAGACACAAGTTCTTTGTCCCCAGCGTCCCTCTGACAGACAAATACTGGGTACCAACGAAGTGCCAGGCACTACCCTAGACCAAAAATAAAAGACAGCGGGCAAAGCCCACTCCGGCTGCCCCACTGGCGGCCCCGCTCACTGTCTGGCTGCCACCCTGAAACGCCCATTCTGTCCTCTCTGAGCCACATGCCCTCGCGGCGCCACCGGGCTGGTCCGCCTTCCCACCTGAGGGCGCCCGAGCCCACCCATCTCCCGTCCAAGACGGATACGTCACCGCTTCCGTCCCGGAGCAAGCGCGGGAAAGACAACAGTGCCACCGGGAGGCGGGCCCTCCTGCTGCTGGACACCCCGGACTGGCTGGCACGGCACGGGCTGCCAGCAAGGACCCCGAAGAGGGCTGCCCGGTCGAATGCCTAAAGGACCCCGCTTGGCCCGAAAAGCTAGCTATCGCAGTGCCTGGTGGCCGGGCCCCGCGGCGGGAGGATCAGGTGACTCGTATCCGAACTCCACCGGGGCTCCCAAATAGCCCAGACTCTGGACTGGGTTTAGGCCTCTGTACAAAGGGCCGAAACCGCGGGGCTGCAGTCCTGGAGAAATGGGAAAGCAGGGTGGGGAAGAGGGCGGTGTCTAGAACTGAGGCTGTGAGCTTGGGGGACTGGAGGGCGGGGCTTCAGGTTTTGGAGGCAGAAAACCGAGGTGATGATGAGCTTGGGAGGTCGGGGAGCGTGGCTAGCACCCTCCAGGAAGCGGAGAAATAGGAGCCTCCGTTGTGGAGGCAAATGCCCAGGGAATTTCTAAAACTTATAAGTCTCTAAAGGAGCGACTTTTATGTTGAGCAAGTTTCCCGACCTGTTCCTCTTTGTTGTAAACCAGTATTCAAGACAAGCATGACTTGACTGGCATTAGAAAAGGAACCATGCCCTCCCCTGGATAGCCTCTAGCATTCTGGCCTTGGAATAGCTGAATCACTCATTCACTGATTGATTCAACAAATACAGTTGAGAGCCATGTGTGTGCTAGGCGCTCTGCAGTACAGAGGATACAGTGGTATGCAGAACAGATCTGTGCTTTCATGGAGCTGATCTTCTAGTGGGGAAGAGATAAGTGAAGAAGACATGTAAGGAGCCATGAGAGTGGGGAAGCGAACTAAGATCTAGTGGGTGAGTAGGAGGTCATCAGCGGGAACACATTCTGGACTGTGAAAACTCTGGCTGTTGGGCCAGAAAGTCTTGGAGCTGCAAGGCCCATGAGGCTGGAGCAAAAGCAAGTTAAGGTGTATGGAGTTCTAGATGAGGGATCAGATCACACAAAGCCTAGTAGGACATAAGGCTTTCCCGTTTTATTGTAAAAGCAGGGTACACTATGAAGGGTTAAGGAGGGAAATGAAATGATCAGGTTTGCATTTTAGTTCAATGGCTATTGTGTGGAGAACAGATTGTAGAGAGTAGCAAGAGTAGAAACTGGAAGATCCTTAAAGAGGCTGTTGCAGAAGTCCAGGGAGGGTTGCTGTTGTTTTAGACTGGGGTGATGGCAGTTGAGAAGGAGAGAATTGTATGGATTGGAAGGATACTGGCGAGGCAAAACTGCCAGAGCTTAGTGATATCGTGGATATAGAGGATGAGGAAGGTGAGGTGACAAGGATATCTCTCCCTAAAAATATGAGAAGATTCTGCTCACTTTTGGGTTACTCACCACCTGGGATGTTAGGGAAACTGGGTTGGCTGATCTTGTACTGGTTAGGCTGCGGTTAGCTTTGTGGATCGACTGGAGCATCAGCCTGAATGCTATAGAAAGGGCATGAGTAGGAAAGACCTTGGCAGTGTTTCTCTGTTTGGGCCAGACCCTAGCACTGCCTTTAATGTGCCACTTTCGGGCTAAGAGAAATAACATGGTTGTCCAGACACTGTCTGTCTGTGTGTGTGTGTGTGTGTGGAAGCCTTCTCTATTTACTGGCAAATTTAGAGGTTCCACCCACATAATCTTTGAGAACTAGCCTTAGACCTGAAGAGATGATCAGTTTCTTACATGTAAATAGAATTTCAAAGTTGGAAGAGATCTCAAGTTTTCTTGGTCCAGTTTAAAATACTTTTGTTTTTATGTAACCAATCCGCTTAAGCCAGCTACTAACCGCTTATGCATACCTTATAAATTTGGGTAACCGCCTCTGCTCAGGGCTTTCTGACCCTGCATCACTGCAATGGTTGCGGCAGAAGGCCCTGGCTCGAGTCAGTAATAAACTTCCCTTTTTTTGCGAAAAAAAATAAAATAAAATAAAATACTTTTGTTTTTTATAGCATTTCCACAATTATTTATTGAGCTCATACACCATGATTAGACTGTAGATATATAAAGATAAATAGAATAAGACTATATAGGTTCATTTACAATAGAATTGATTAAGTGTTTTTGTGTCAGGCAGTTTCAGCTACTTCAGATACAAAATGAGTACAAGTTGTCTTTGACCTTCAAGTTGAATGTCTGCAAGCCTTGCCATGGTGAAGGACAGGGAAGCCTGGCGTGCTGCAGTCCATGGGGTCACAAAGAGTCAGACACAACAACTGAACAACAAGCCTTGCCATTGAGGACAGCAAGTGTGTTAAAGGGTTTGATTTGGCCAGGGTAGATCCTGACTTATCTGTAACTTTAGATAAGAAATCATATGTATCCAGCAGACTTTAGGCACGGGGTTGGAGGGTGGATGAGAGGGGGATGGTATCCTGGCAACATCCCAATTCTTGTCCATCCAGTCTTGCAATTCTAGAATTGATGGGAGAGCACTGTGTGACCCTACCCTTGTGGCTAGGCTCTATGGGAATGTAAATTGTAAATCCTCTGTAAAACACAAAAGATAGGAAGGGAAGGGCGTACTGGCAGAGACAGGTCATGTTTAAACTTGAACTTCTCCTGAATGGGTCACTCCTTTGCAGGGTTACAGTTGCACTAACAAGATTATCTCCCCCAGTGGGCAACTTGAAGGCCCCTGTACTAGTCCTTTCTCTCAATCCCATGATCCCAGTGGGCAGTTAAATACTAAGCAACTGTCATCTGCTTTATGAATGTCAGAAGTGAGAGCTCTAGTTGATTTGCAAGACTGCATGGCTCCAGAGTAAGAAGGGTGGGGAGTGTAACACTCATGAGTCTCTAATCTGGCTCTCTGGTGCAGGAGGGAGATGACCTCGATCTTGCGGAGCCCGCAGGCTCTTCAGCTCACTCTGGCCCTCATCAAGCCTGATGCAGTTGCTCACCCCTTGATTCTGGAGGTAAGAACACGTCCTAAGCCTCTACTGTATGCCCTGGGCATTGCTTCTGTTTCAGCTGCCACAGGGCCATTTGTGAAGACTGACAACACAGTCCTGTGCTAGATGGTGTGGAGGCAAAGCTAGACATTGTGGACGCTGACCCCAAGGAGACTGAAAATCTATTGGAGAACTAAGGCAGATATAAAATATAACCACTGGTAGTCCAGTGCTGAAGAATCTGCCTTGATGCAGGGAACATAGGTTTGATCTGTGATCAGAGAAGTAAGATCCCACTGAGACTGGGGAACTAAGATGGGGCAACTAAGCCCACGTGCCACAACTACTGAAGGCCACGGGCCACAGCAAATCATTCTGCATGAAGCAATGAAGATCCTGCGGGCTGCAACTTAGACCCCAGGCTGTGTGCTGTGCTTAGTCACCAGCCGTGTCTGACTGTCTGCAGCCCCATGGACTATAGCCCTCAGGCTCCTCTGTCCATGGGAATTGTCCAGACAAGAATACTGGAATGGGTTTCTATGCCCTCATCCAGGGGATCTTCCCAACCCAGGAATGGAATCCAGGTCTCCGCCTTGCAGGCAGATTCTTTAAACACATGCAGCCAAAGAAACAAATAAATAAAATATTTTTTTTAAAAATTAAAGAAAGGCTCTAATACAGTAAGAAGAACCAAACCTCAAGACAGTGTATGTATACTAGTTGTCTACTGCGTATGTGCTCAGTCATGATTGGCTCTTTGCAACTCCATGGATTATAGCATGCCAGGCTCCTCTGCCCATGGGATTTTCCAGGCAAGAAGACTGGAGTGGGTTGCCGTTTCATTCTCCAGGGGATCTTCCTGACCCAGAATTCAAACCCTTGTCTCCTGTGTCTCCTGCATTGCAGGCAAATTCTGTACCACTGCACCACCTGGGAAGCCCCAGTTCTCTATTGCCGCATAACAAATTACCACACACTTAGCAGCTTAAAACAGCATTCATTACCTCACAGTTCTAGAATGCAGAGGTCCAGTAGGTTTGGCTGAGGGCTAGGTTCTCGCCTTAGGGTTTCACAAAGCCCAAGTCCAGGTATCAACTGACTGGGCCCTTATCTCCAGGGTGTGGGGAAGAATCCATTTTGAAGCTCATTCAGAATGGCTGAATTTGATTTCTGGGACCATAGGACTGAGGTCCCCATGTCCTCGCTGGCCTTCAGGTGGGGACTGCTCACATTCCTCATACATGACTTACTCCCATCTTCAAGAGAGCAACAGGGAGTCTCTTTTCTTCAAGTTTTAGGCTGTAAAGGTTCCCCAGGAGTCTTTTGGTTAGCCTGGGTCTCCCGTTCACTCAGATGCTCCCTGTCACTGACTTTTATCTTTGGGATGGCGTTCATCCAGGCTGTTCATCAGCAGATTCTGAGCAACAAGTTCCTTATTGTGCGAATGAGAGAACTCCTGTGGAGAAAGGAAGACTGCCGGAAGTTTTACCGAGAGCATGAAGGTAGGAGCAGAGTGTCCTCTGAGCGGGAGGCTTCTCTATCCCGGAAAGATTTTACTGACACCCACGTCAGGTTCGCACTGACGTCAGTTGGGTCACTCTGTGTGTCTGACTCTTTGCGACCCTGTGGACTGCGGCACGCCAGGCTTCCCTGTCCATCACCAACTCCCGGAGCTTGCTCAAAGTCATGCCCATTGAGTGGGTGATGCCATCCAACCATCTCATCCTCTGTCATCCCCTCCTCCTCCTGCCTTCAGTCCTGGCATCAGGGTTTTTTCCAATGAGTCAGTTCTTCGCATCAGGTGGCCAAAGTATTGGGGTTTCAGCATCAGTCCTTCCAATGAACATTCAGGACTGATTTCCTTTAGGATTAAGTGGTCTGATCTCCTTGCAGTGCAAGGGACTCTCAGGAGTCTTCTCCCAACACCACAGTTCAAAAGCATCAATTCTTCGGCATTCAGCTTTCTTCATAGTCCAACTCTCACATCCATACATGAGTACTGTACTTACCAACTGTAAAATTCAGCCAGTCTTCTAAAGAGTGGGTTGATAACACGAACTTTTCATGATTATCAATGTTTTTAAAATATTTTCTAGGAGGGTCCTACCTCATGGTACCAACAAGAAATTTACTTTTATATCCTGATAATATCACTACTTAACAAAAAACTCTGTCAAGCACTATCCAAAGGCTCATGATTTCATTTCATTTCCCAGCAACCCCATGAGGTAGGTATTATATCCCCAGCACACAGATTAGGAAACTAAGTTAGGGAAGTTATTGATTTACCCGAAACTACACAGGTGGTAAGTTGGAGAGCCTGGGTTCAGACCCAGATTAGTCAGACTCCCTGTTCCTTTCTGGAAAACAGTGATTATTCCCTCCTCTAGGGAGGCAGGAGTATAAAAAGTTCTCTTGGCACTGGTGTCTTAATGGAGGTCCTCTCTCCTTGCAGGACGTTTTTTCTATCAGCGGCTGGTGGAGTTCATGGCCAGGTATTTCTCATTTTGGTTCCAACATCTTCATCCACTGAGACTTATTTCCCCTGCCCCCCTAAGTAGATTTATTAATTTTATTTGCCACTCTTTAAAGTTGTAAGCAGTGTCGAGGGTCTGAAGAAACATGGGTTCGGGCTGAGACTGACCCCGTGGCCACCTGTTCTGAGGTGCTTACTGATCCAGGGGCTGTAGAAGAGTGCTGCTGAATGCTTCCTAACAACTCTGCCGTCTCGTTGGCCTTTCTTCCTCAGCGGCCTTCTGTCACCTCTCTGATGCAGTACTTAGCTAGAAAGGCAAGGGGACTCTCAAGATGTCCATTGTGCCCTCCTGAACCCAGAGCCAGATTCCTGACATGTGCTCCCTTGGTTCACAGTGGGCCGATCCGAGCCTACATCCTCGCCCACAAGGACGCCATCCAGCTCTGGAGGACCGTGATGGGACCGACCAGAGTGTTTCGAGCACGCCACGTGGCCCCAGATTCAATTCGTGGGAGTTTCGGCCTCACCGACACCCGTAACACAACCCACGGCTCAGGTGAGGCTGCCTCCTGTGTCCACAGGATTCAAAGGGAATTTGGTTCAAGGACACTGGGCAGGCTGGGTGGTGGGGTTGAAAGGCAGGTCCCCCAGGGAGCTTTCCTCCCAGTTGGGTTTCTGGCCCTTTGTGGTGACCTCGGCAGATGTGGCCCAGGACTTAGGGGCGGGAGAAGTATAGGCTCTGAAGCCGATTATGACTGCCTCTTGCGTCTACCCTGCACTCCCTATGAGAACCCCTTCTCTTTCTCTCCTCCCCTTACAGACTCAGTGGTTTCAGCCAGTAGAGAGATTGCAGCCTTCTTCCCCGATTTCAGTGAACAGCGCTGGTACGAGGAGGAGGAGCCCCACTTGCGCTGTGGCCCTGTGCACTACAGTCCTGAGGGTGGCATCCACTTTGCTGCTCCAGCAGGGGGCCCGGGGCCAGCCTGACCCAGGCCTGTGAGTGTGTGAAGACTGGGGCATCGCCCAACCTTCCCCACAGACCTCTGCTGCCAGAGCAGTCTTCTAGGACCAAGGAGGCCGGGGGCTGCTTGCGCCATCTCTGCTGGGCACTGCCAGCTGCGTGAGGGTTAAGCTCCTCACTGCCACCTCTTCTAGAATCTGTCTACCTCTTCTCTGGAAGGTTCATGGCTGGTTCAGAGGAATGACATCTCCTCTTTTTCAGGGAGCTGTTCATCATTTTCAAGGAGAAGCTTGCCCAGCTGTTGCCTGAAAAATACAGTGACTCTCTATTAGTCACGTTTAGTCTGTTTTCCTTAATAAAAGTCAGTATGCTACTGAATAAAGGCTGTGAGCACTACTCGAGGTGCTCTCTCTCTCTCTCTCTCTCTCTTTAACTGGAGCATTTAAACCTGTCCTAAGTCAAGTTTCTGGTCTATGCTAAGTGAAGAGAGGCAAAATCTCCCAGGAGGTTCACATGGCGTTCAGCTTATGTAGAGCACGAAGGCCCCTGGCATAAGCCTGCATCCTAGAAGAAGGGGCACCTTTGGTTTGAGCAAAAGTATGTCTGCCCAGTAGTGGCATATTGTTATGACTTTTTTTTTTTCTGATTTGCACATAGCCACTAAAGGGAGCCATGTCTGTGCTATAGCTGAGGATGACAGTTACCTACTGCTATGACAAACCACCTCAAGATTTCATGGCTTAAAACAATAATGACTGAACTTGTCTATATGTCTATGGATCAGCTGGGTGATTCTGCTGGGCTCACCTGGACGCACATGGCTGTGTTCAGCAGTTGGATCCAGCGTGGTCTTTCCTCCTGAGCTGCTTCTTTGCATGGTTATTTCAGGGTTCCAGGAAAGCAGGCCTCCATTCACGAGCTTATCGAGCTTCCGCTTGGATCATGTTTGCTGATACCCCACTGTGAAAGGCACGTCACATGGCCAAGCCCAGAGTCCATGTGGGAAGCAACTGCACAGGGCACAGATGCAGGGAGGTGTGAATCACGAGGGAGCATTACCATGACAGTCTACAATCTGAAAGTGAACAGGCTTGAAGTTATATAGAGAACTTAAGAAAACAAATATTTGCACAAGCCAGGAAAAGACAGAAATAGCCAGAGAAGGACGGCTGAAGCCTTGCCCACAAACTTGCACTCATCAGGCTCCTCTCCTGTGTCCTCTGGTGTATGTTGAGGATTGTCCTGTGACTAGGCCCCCACCCACACTCCCTGTGAACAAAAGGCTTCTCACCTGAAGGTGTCCTGAGGTGTGATTTCTCCTTAAAGTCTTGGCCACAGTTCCTGCACACGTGAGGTTTATGCCCTCTGTGAATCCTCTGGTGCTTAATGAGGGCTGGCTTTTCACTAATACCTCACCCACACAGCGCGCGCACAAAGGGCTTCTCCCTCGTGTGTCCTCTGAGGCAGCGTGACTTGAGGCACCTTCTCCCGAGTGTGTTCTCTGGCGTTTTTAAGGGGCGACATCTAAAAAGCCTGGCCCACGCTCCCTACGTATTTAAGGCTTTTCCCTGTGTGTCCTCTGATGTCTGATGAATGTGACTTCTGACTAAAGCTTCACCAACACTCTGCACACAGATGTTCCCTCCCCATGACAGCCTGCATCCTAAGAAGTTTGACTTCTGGCTAAAATCCAGTCCACACTCTCCGAACCGGACTGCTCCAGATCCTGAGATTTCTACCCTCTCAGGAACGTTGTCTGTCTCCCCAGATCTTACCTTCTGGGCTGGACTGAGCTGCACCTTCAACACAGTTGCCTCCCTGAAAGTTTACTGGTGGTCCCTGGGGTCGGCTAGAGAAAACTACTGAAGATCTACTGTCATTGGTTCAGTTCAGTTCAGTTCACTCGCTCAGTCTTGTCCAACTTTGCGACCCCATGAACTGCAGTACACCAGGCCTCCCTGTCCATCACAAAGTCCCCGAGTCCACCCAAACCCATGTCCATTGTGTCGGTGATGCCATCCAACCATCTCATCCTCTGTCGTCCCCTTCTCCTGCCTTCAATCTTTCCCAGCATCAGGGTCTTTCAAATGAGTCAGCTCTCCACATCACGTAGCCAAAGTATTGGAGTTTCAGCTTCAACATCAGTCCCTCCAATGAACACCCAGGACTGATCTCCTTTAGGATGGACGGGCTGAATCTCCTTGCAGTCCAAGGGACTCTCAAGAGTCTTCTCCAACACCACAGTTAAAAAGCATCAATTTTTCGGCACTCAGCTTCCTTCACAGTCCAACTCTCACATCCATACATGACTACTAGAAAAACCAAAGCCTTGACTAGACGGACCTTTGTTGGCAAAGTAATGTCTCTGCTTTTTAATATGCTGTTTAGGTTGGTCATAACTTTCCTCCCAAGGAGTAAGTGTCTTTTAATTTCATGGCTGCAATCACCATCCGCAGTGATTTTGGAGCCCAGAAAAATAAAGTCAGCCACTGTTTCCACTGTTTCCCCATCTATTTGCCCTGAAGAGATGGGACCAGATGCCATGATCTTAGTTTTCTGAATGCTGAGCTTTAAGCCAACTTTTTCATTGTCTTCTCTCACTTTCATCAAGAGGCTCTTTAGTTCTTCACTATCTGCCATAAGAGTGGTGTCATCTGCATATCTGAGTTTATTGATATTTCTCCCAGCAGTCTTGATTCCAGCTTGTGCTTCCTCCAATCCAGCGTTTCTCATGATGTACTCTGCATATAAGTTAAATAAGCAGGGTGACAATATACAGCCTTGACGTACTCCTTTTCCTATTTGGAACCATTGGTCCAAATTGGTACATTGATACTTTTTAAAAAAAGAAAAAAAAAGGGGGGGGTAGAGACCCTCCTCTTCGATGTGCTTTGCCCACCACCACCCCTCCCCACAGTGGTTTTTATCAGAATGGTGTTGCTGCTACTGCTGCTGCTGGGCAAGGATCTCCTGGTTGGTGTTGATTTCCCGCACATGAAACTGGAAATAGGATGACTGCAGAGATCACGCTGGCTGAGAATCTGCTGCCTGCCCAGAGGACAGAGAGGCCAGGGATGGATTTCTGGCTTTGAATCTGAAGAAAGAGTTTTTAAAATAGTCACAGGAAGGGTTAGCCAGGCTTTTCCTCCTTGTCATAATGTCTTATAGTCCACATCATTCACAACCATTAATGTCTGTCTCTGCAAGGCAAGTTTCACCAGACCTATATTTCCATTCAACCCCTTTTGACTTTTTATTTGGAAATAATTTCAAACATACAGAAAAGTTGCAAGAATAAGGACAGTACACAAAACAGCCCTGTACCCTTTACCCAAACCACCTATTGCTAAAATTTCTGTTATATATGTGTACGTACACATACATGTACATACATTTTTTAAATCAATACATCAATACTCTTTACCTATAAATAATTCATTGTGTGTCTGACAAAAGTAGGGATATTCTTTTTCATAACCACAATAGTTATCAAACTCCAGTAAATTTAACATTTATATAATACTTTAACAACTATCAGGGCTTCCCTGATAGTGAAGAGTCCGCCTGCAATGCAGGAGACCCCGGTTCAATTCCTGGGTCAGGAAGATCCCCTGTAGAAGGCATAGGCTACCCACACCAGTGTTCTTGGGCTTCCCTGTGGTTCACCTGGTAAAGATTCCACCTGCAATGTGGGAGACCTGGGTTCCATCCCTGGGTTGGGAAGATCCCCTGAAGAAGGGAAAGGAAAGTTTACCCACTCCAGGCTACCCATTCTGGCCTAGAGAATTCCATGGACTATATAGTCCATGGGGTTGCAAAGAGTCAGACATGACTGAGCAACTTTCACTTTAACTTAATGACTATCATATGTATTCCAGTTGTCAGCTGATCCAATAACATCCTTTATAGCATTTTCCCTACAGTACAGAATGGTCTACAATCATATTAAAATTAGTTATGTTTCCTTAGTTTCCGTTAGTGTCTCTTTCATAAGGTTGGCATTTCTGAAGAACAGAGTTCTTTATTCAGAGAATCTTTCTCATGTTTAGAATATGTACAGAACATTCCTGACATTTTCCTATGACTAGGTTCAGATTATGTACCACAGTCAAATTTTTTTTTAAGATTTACTTATTTTATTTTTAGGCTGTGGTGGGTCTTTGTTGCTGCTTTTGTTGCTGCACACGGGCTTTCTCTAGTGGTCGCAAGCAGGGGCTACTCTTCATTGCAGGGTGGTGGGCTTCTCATTGTGGCGGCTTCTCTGTTGCAGAGCATGGCCTCTCGGCATGCAGGCTTCAGTAGTTGCAGTGCATGGGCTCAGCAGTTGCAGCTTGCGGGCTCTAGAACACAGGCTCAGTAGTTGTGACACACAGGCTTACCTGCTCTGTGACATGTGGGATCTTCCTGGACCCAGGATTGAACCAGTGTCCCTTGTATCACAAGGCGGATTCTTAATCACTGGAGCACACTTTTGTCAATTTTTACTTATTGTATCTTTTATTTGAATCAAGCAAAAAAAAAAAAAAAAAAAAAAAACCCCACAGTTGAACCTATTATTCTATATATTATCCCAATAAGCAATCTTCCAAGTATACATCAGAGGCATCATCAGCTTTGTAAGTATCTGCACTTAAACTGGCACAACTAAGCGACTTCACTTTCACTTTTCACTTTCATGCATTGCAAAAGGAAAGTATTCTCCAGTATTCTTGCCTGGAGAATCCCAGGGACAGAGGAGCCTAGAGGGCTGCCATCTATGGGGTCGCACAGAGTCGGACACGACTGAAGCAACTTAGCAGCAGCAGCAGCAGCACTTATACTAAAATTACCTTCTAGGCCATAACCAGTTACACTAACACATAAGCTACAACGATTTGTTTCCAACAAGAGAGAACAATCTTCATGACGAATATGAGAACATTCTTTGTGACTTTTTCTATGAAAAGAGTGGACTGACAGAGGAGTCACTCAGTCTGATGTTTCTAATACAGAAGACCGTAGAGAATAGTGGCTAACCAGAGCACATGTGAAACCTCATTTGAATTTCCGCATTCATTATCTGTCCAACTTCGCTGACTCTCTCAGGACAGAATGAAGCATGACTAAGACATGTTGCTCTAGAGGGTCTACTGAGCCCAATCAAGTCAGGACCCGCACTGATCTGAAGGAAGCACTCTCTGCAGCCATGAGAGTTCTGTTCTGGGATCAGGAATAGAAGAATGGATTGGGAGCAGGTGACTAAAGCTAATTCCAGTCTCTTCCTTCTTTATCGCACATTTCTAATAGAACTGTTCACTTTATTCAAGAATGTATACGTATCCAGGACTTCCCTGGTGGTCCAGTGGTAAAGAATCCACTTGACGATGCAGGGACACGGGTCTGATCCTCGGTGGGAAGATTCCCCATGCTGTGAGGCAACTAAGCCCATGTGCCACAAG